TCGACGTGTAGCCCGAATACGAACGGCAGGTGTGCATCTCGTTGCCTTCGTCGACAGCCAGTCGCCTGATGTACAGAGTAGCCTCCCCGCTCATGTCCAGACCGCCGTATGTGACAATGGTATCAAGATCATGGATGGAATATATACTGATACCTGGCCAGACGGATCATGGTTTGTTTCCTTACATCTTTGTCGTCGTCTTCGAGTCTGATATATGAAATATCCGCAGGACCTAGTACGTCTACCCTCGCTCCGCATCACTATCGCATATAACGTCCGGGCAGTGACTACTCCATCCAAACGCTCACTGGAGACCTGGGCAATAACGGCGGCAAGGTCATCACGAAGTGCGACGGCGCCGGCGATGCATCAGTTTCAGTTTCTGCTGATGGCACCAAAGCATCTGATTCTTTCTCATCTAACTCTGATACTTCGTCATCATCAGCTTCGTCTTCGACATCGTCTCCAGGGAGCTCCTCGGCTGCATTGAGCACGGGTGCTGCAGTCGGGATTGCCGTGAGTGCGACCATACTCGGGCTGCTCGTGATAAGCGGGATTGTTGTAACACTTTGGATGCGAATACGGAAGAACAAGTCAAGCCCCTTGGTGCATGCAGTCCGGGAGATCACTGGCGGTACCAGTACACACGCAAGTATTAGCCCTTTTATAACAGCTCGCGCCCCGAATTTTACTCAAACGGCAAACGGCGGCGGTACATCTTTCAAGATAGCTCGTAGAACTTGCCACTGACGTTCAGTTTTACTAGATTCCAATCGTTACCATTTCCCCTCCTCGAAATCATCATCACCACTTCACCCACTGCCATCGAGCAGCGCTGGCTCCTCGTTATCTGCTCTCCCCCACGTTCGCCGATGCGTCACGTTGACGCTGGTCCTATGGAGGGGTTACCACCTGCGTACGGGGATCAGGTTGATGGGGGTGTAAGGAGAATATGAAGAGCATCCGTGTGCTGATATTTCATACGTGACAAAACAAGCTAGGGAGGTATTGCCGAGCGCGGTTTCTGAGTCGATCAACTTTTACCCTTCCAAGCTCCTCCCATTCCCTTCCGCTAAACGAAAAGTTCAAACAGCAAAGACAAGATGAATTTCCAGAGTCTGTAAGTAAGTAAGGACCCAGTCAGCGGCTACCCTCACTCAGACTCTGGTTCAGAGGCACCTTTAAATAAGGAGTTCATGTGTAGACATGAGGGCCGGAGGTTCACTTTAACAAACTACAGACACACTATCGACACACTATCCCTACAAACTAAGCTTTTTGGTCTGTCTCGCTACCGGTGCGTCATTTGCACTAGAGCAACCTCAACATACGTCCATTGTGCAAACGTCTGACATGGACAACGAATGGGAAGGCGTACTCCGGATCGAGGCGACCCATTTCGGATTGGGCCGATCCATCATTTCCTTCTTGTACCGCGACCACCATCTTCAGCGATCCCCTACGCGTGTTTTCTTAATCTCGCCTACGGTACGTTCGTTAAACGTTAACAACTATCCACATCGCTAACGCTGGCACGTTTAGCCATCATGCCGCCAGTCACGCCAACGCGAAGGACCAGGCCTACGCCCTATTCGCGCTCACCTTCTTCATCTCAGCCCCAAACACGTATCTTCGAAAGACTCGACCTTGTCCAATTCGCCTTTGACGCCGTCCAAAAGTATCTCGCCCAGTCTGTAGACAACCGCAAATCGCTTCTCACCGAGATTGAATTCGCCTTGCTCCTCGATTCCCTAGACGGAACCCAAGTTCTCCCCGCCGAGTCGCATCTTCATCAGTGGTTACGCGTCGCGTCAGTGCGCCAGGGATCGATCTACATTGGCAAGACTCGTCGTCTCGTGTTTATGAAGGATTTGGACTCGGCGCTAGCGTCTTTGAGGTTCTCGGAGCAACCCACGGATATGCTTGACGAAGCCCAGAGGAGATTCGCGGGAATTCTGGATGAACTCGTTCGGTGCTGGCATTAGGAGCTGGTCGCGCTGGCCAAGATGCAGAAGATCTGGTACGGGCTGAAGGAGCAGGACAATTTTGTTCCCATTCCGGATCCACCTCAACTCGAACCATCGAGTCTCTGGTCTCCGTCTGCGAGCACCGTCGTCGCCTCTGGCTCGGACGACGAAAGCGATTTGGAGGAGGACGAACCCGATGGTGACGCTGCTGATGCTGATGAGCATGATGACGAGGAGGATTCAGTCTTTCAGGACGATACCGACTCCTCGACCGATCCGGCATCCAACGAGGGAAGTGCTACAGAGGATGTCGACGAAGCGGACGTTCGTCCAAGCGTTGATAGTATCCCGTCAGCAAGGACATATGGGTGTACAGTGCAGTGAACATATAGCAGTCTGGGCAACGGTGGTCTCTTCCTTCATTTTCTACACCTTCATCTATATATTATGTTCATCTCTATCGAGCTCGCTTTGTATACAACTATAGATGTCTCGTACCAAGAATGAATGAACAGTGGCACGGACAACTTTGTAGTATCATGCTACTTATCAGACGTGCATCTCTTCAGTCTTTCTGTCGAAATTCGAGCCTGCCGTCGACTTAATCCGAGCCTGTGGGTCAAATTAGCGTACATTTCGCCTACGCTGTATGGTTTCATTGAGTTCAAGGGATTTGTCTATCGCACTGCACTTCCCGGGACTTTGAAGGGCACTCTTCTCAGAGCAGAACTTGAATCCAGTCAACTCAAAGCGGAGTCGGGAGCCTCCCAGAAGATGAACTATCGCTGCCACCGATTCGGACAGCGTGCAGGTCGTCCGAGATAATGCACACGTCGTCATGAAGAATTTCGAGTCGCCATGTTGTTGCCATGCAATCCGTCGCTGCCATTGCATGCTACGAGCCAGAACCATCCAGGGACGGACAGGAGGGAATCTAGAAGTTTAGCCGTCTCTGTTGCCTCTGGGACGCATTCGAGTGGTAGCCGCGCCACACTGCCCCCGAGCTGATGAGAATGAATATCGGATTAAAAAGAAACGAGTCGGAGGTGACCTACAACGAGCAGTGGGTACCAAAGTGCCATTCTCTAGGCAGGTTTGTAATAAGCATCGCTCTATTTCAAGCGAAAACGTACCATTCACCGCCTCGTGCGCAGTAGATATAAAAATACTGTATTCCAATCGTACGAGCTCGAGCATCTACGATCTCAACTGTATGAATGCCTGTTCTGCCCACGCTAACAGTGAGCCCAAATTGACGACTTACAGATAGTAACTCAATGGCTCCCAGGGCAATTAAATATATCAGTCTTCGGACCAGAATTGGGTAAAGATAGAAGGGAAAAGGGGTTCGTGGTGGCGCCAGAGCCAGGATGAGGTCGTTCTTCCCAGCTCATAAGTACAGACGGTGTTCAGGCCCTCCGTGCTACGCATGAAGCTTAGATTGACTTGGACTACTATACCTACTATAGGAAATGCCCACCATTGTCCCAAATCTGGCCATAGTCATGACAGCGGTCGCGGTCTCGCGACGGAACGTGGTGGTGGTCCGAATTTGAACGCGTCAGTCACGTGAAACGCTGACAACCCTGATTTCCCCACAATCACAGACGTAACCATTACCAGCATTTCGCGCCCTTAAATTGGTTGCCATTCTCTCTCCATTCCCTTGACGGGAACCTGCCTTTTCCTCCATGCCTCGCCTGCGCGTGCTCGCTGGTCCGTCTGTGGAATCGCTGGAACCGATAACCGCCTACGTCAACAAGAACAAGCCCTTTGGAATCAAGTCTGATGCTTTTGAGGGCTGTATAGTCGTCAACATTAAAGGGCTTGAAGGTTCGGACGACTGCGAGTACTTTGCTCGCCCGGAGAGACAGGGAATTACTTGGAGTATCCAAGTTCAAGGTACGTCCCGCGTCACAGTTACCCGTGCGCGCCGCATACCCATACCTTGCTAGGCCGGTTCTTGAAGTCTTATTCTTCCAATGACATTCTCTTTGGCAACACGTTTGATCGCCCGCTGGGCTTGCCTTGGGGCTCGGGTGCTGCGCTCAAGTTTATGAAGTATGTTTAACGTGTCTTAAACAGCGCTAGTACTCACAACCATCCAGTTACGTTGATCCTACTTTAGAACACGACCTGACTTCGTCCACGAAGCCGTGGGCGTTGTCTCCGCTCGTCGCTACCATGCCGCACTTTTCTCACACGCAAGAGGAGCCTCCGCAGTTTCCGCCACGCACGCCACTCGTAGATGACACGTCCAATCTTTACCTCGCTGTCACATCTTCCTCCCCTGTGTCGTCTTCTTCCTCCTTGTCCAACAATCTTCTTCCTCCAGGATGTCTTCTTTAAGAAAGAAAAAGAAACCTCCCCAGACCTCTCTAGCCTCACTACTGCCTCCAAGCGACGCGCCTACTTTGCATCCGAGCCGAACAGACGCACTATTACCTTTGGCCGGATGTATGCGTTTCTTCTAGTCTCGCGATTATGCTGATGTCTTCTAGGATATCATTACAACAGATTTTTGCTACGGCTTCCTCGAATTCCACCCCTCACTGCGCTGCGATTGCCGGGCGGGCTTTCATTTGATCTGATGCGCTATTGGGATGGACAGCCTGTGAGATTTGTCTGCTGCGAGCGTGGCACCGGTGACCAGCCGTGGGGAAGGGTATTTTGGTGCTTGTCAATCGAGTCGGAGGACGAGTTACAGGAGTCGGATCCTCCTGCTTGAACGCAGGAATTTGCACGGACTTTGTTTGGAATGTACTTTACCACATACATGTATAGGTACACGCATAATGTACAGTATTAGCTTTCTTCGACTCGACGGTGGGTCTGCGTCTAGTGATGACAAGATACCCAAAAGAATTGCGGCTACCGCACCAGATGGGAGCAGGCAAGACCAATTTCTAACCGGCAGGAGCGATACTTGTTATACAAGCCGGCCTACTATTAGTATAGAGAACGCCACGGATGGAAGCCTCAAACCAGGAAGCATAGATGGAGACTTGCTGTAGGCTGATGGAAGGACACTTGTCTCTGATAGTATATCGGTTAGTACACGCGCCTGTCAATGATTGAAATGACGCGCGAAAGCTGGGTTCGACTCCCAGTCAGAGAGGTCGACTGATGGCATATGGGTAAATTTTTGCATTCGCTTCGGGCCTTCGGCTTAGGGTGGCGCAGTAAACCTCCGGGGGGTGTTAGTAACGGTATTGATACCGACCCCCAGGAGGCCGTGGTTTTGAAACTGTTACTAACGGTTTCGATACCGGCACGTGCTTTTACCACGTGATGTGGCGCACCGCTCCGCCGCCCTCCGCCCGCCCTTATCCTGCAACTTCCAGCTTGCCTGAGGGCCAGCGCGCCATCACGTGAATTTGTCACGTGTCGGTATCGAAACTGTACTGATACCTCGGCCGAGGTTTCGATACCGAATCAATACTGTTAAAAACCGCAGTAAACCTGAGGTGTATCGAAACCTAGGGTTTACTGCACCACCCTACTTCGGCTCTATGTTAAGGTGGTGAAGTAAACCTCCGGGCAGGTAACTTACCGGTAAGTTACTAGGGGGTCCCAGAGGCCTTGGTATCAATACGGTAAGTTACCGTTACTTACCAAACACGTGACTTTTCACGTGAGAAGCGTGGCGCAATTTCTCGCGGGGCTTCTGAACCATGTTTTTTTTGCTCCTCAGAGCGAATTTTGGCTTCAGAGTGCACATATTTCAACTGTATTTACCATACAATGCCTTATCCCTCCCATCTCCACTGTTCTCCACCCACAACGGTCAACCCTCCTGGGCCTCCTCCCGCCGCTGATCACATGATAGGTCACGTGTTTGGTAAGTTACCTACCTCCTCAGCCATGAGGTAAGTTACCGGTATCGATACCGGTAACTTACCGCAGTAAACCCTACCGGTATCAAAACCTAGGGTTTACTTCACCACCCTACTCTATGTAGTACGACGGCGGCACTGCGCCGTGCGGCAGCAGGATGTCCACAAACCATTTCTTGTGAGGCAGGTCTCAAGGGGTGGCGCAAGCACCGCACTCAAGCTGCATCCCCGAAGATGTATTTTAGCCTCAACCGACTTCTTGGAGACTCTCAAATCAGCTCTTACCAGATACTGGGCACCTAGTCTTCTTTTAGTTTTAACTCCCCTGGATGAATACTGCCGGGATAGACAGCTTCCGCGATTGAAGTTATGCGACTCTGGGTCTCAGAGGTTCTTCTAAGAAGTCCACTTTTTTGATGCGGTACTAAGTAAGAGCATTTTAAAATCGACTTCGACCTTCAAGTAATGGTACAAACAAGTTCATTGTAAGTCGCGAGTCACTATACTTGACCTCCCAAAGAGCGCACTCGAAGCGGCATCATGGGCTCCTCGCCTACAAATGCCTGCGTAGTCGTAGATCTGAATTCTTCGAGCTTTGCACCCGTGCGCGCCCAGGCAAAATCCCGAATCAAAATGGTGAGCATGGCCTTGAATTCCAGTATAGCTAGCGATAATCAGTCCCAGCAAGGAAAACCGCCAAACACTCACCAAGGCGCCAACCGAGACAGTTCCTATGGCCATCCGCGAATGACGCCACAGTAGTGTAGGGACCACGAGGAAGTCGAGCAGCTGGAGGAAGGCCCCCAGGAGTAAGCCAGCGTTCGGGGGAGAAACTATGACTATCCGGGCCCCAGACTTGCGGGTCTGTGTTCAAAACGGATATGGGGATCTGAATCACCTGCGTCGTACGAGCCTATCAGAAATCTGGCAGTGGCAAATGCAAAGACTGAACAAACCTGCCCGGCTTTGATAGGCAATGACGTGATTATCTCGCCATTTGCGGTGGTGACGGGGTTTCCAAAGGGAATCACGTCGTCTTTGAGGGCTACACGATCGGTGCGAGATGCGGCGGCATGCAGACGAAGACTGATTGAAGCAGTTGAGAGTCAACGGATGGTGCACCTAAGGAAGTTCTTACGTCTCGCTTGTAACGGCGTCAAGATATGGCAAGCTGCTGATTCCATCGTAATTCAGATCACTCCCCAGCTCGTGTATCTTTTGACGGAGCTTGCTTTGAACATCGGGATGACCCGCAAGTTCATACAGAGCAAAGTTGATCGTGCAAGCTGTCGTCTCGTGCCCAACCATACTAATAGAGTTTTCAGTGTGCGTTCTAGGAAGTCCTGGCGGCAAGTTGACTCACATAAAAGTTGCGATATTCTCCAACAACACCTGTTCTGGCAATCGCTCGCTCTCTTTGGTCGTTTTCTGATTTCTCAGCAAGATCGTCAGGATGTCCTTCCCTTCGGCAGCCGTCTTCACACCAGCACTCGTCGCGTTATCTCTCAACATCTGCGATCCGATCCGTATTGCGACCCGCTTGGCGACGCCTTCGTTTCGTAGGGCGGCGATTGGAAGCTTCTGGATCCACGGGAACTTGGAGATGAGTAGCGGCGCACAGAATCCAGTCATCATCGTATGTGCGAGAAGAACGTCATCGTGCCACGACTCCGAGATGCTCTTAGCATCTTCTGATTGACCGCCACGGAAATCGTGCCCAAACGCCACGCGTCCGATAATGTCGAGTCTGCGCACATGCTTCAGTTAGCATGGCGAAAATTTGAAGGACCCTTCTACTTACGTGCACGAGGACACAAAGGGTGAGATATTGGTGCAAGCATCTTCACCTTGACTCAAAACGTGTTTGAGGAGCCGAGCAGTCAACTAGAAACATGTCTTGTTAAGGAGCCACGGAGACTTGGTGGCACTCACATTTTCCGCGCACAATATGACGTCGTCTGTCATCCTTTTCACCGAGGCAAGTCTGTACGGTTAAAGGCATCAGTGAAATATACAGATTGCCAAGGGGGAAACCATACGTCAAAGCCGGTGCAAGGACCTTTCGTTGATGTTTATGTTCTTCTCCCTCGGCGCAAACTATACCTTTCCCAAGCCACCTCTCCGGGTTAAGACGAAACTCGGGCGCTTTGACATAGCGATAACAATGTTGGAATATATATTGAGCAGATACGTTATCCGAAGTTACAAGCTGTGAAGATTCTGAGCGTCATGCCGACACTTGGAAGAGCTTCTATACTCACGACATCGGGACTGAACAATGGTGCTTTGATACGATAGACAGGCCCGAGCAGCGCAGCCCATCTCGAGTGCGGGGAGTGCTGCACATTCGTTTCCTGCGACCAGGCGGCATATTCGTGGCCCCAAAGCCAATGCTGCTGGTGTGCAGGCTAGAGACGTGTGTTGGATCAATACGGTTCCTGCCCTATCAATTGCGGTCCACGTACTGCAATGCGCAATTCATGGATAGGCGAGCTTCGTCGAACAAAGAGTCGGTAGAGTAGCAAAGCGGCAAAGAGGACAGCACAGAAGATGAAGCTGTACATCGTATCGAGATTGTGAAAGGTGTGCGAAAGGCTGGAGAGAAGAAGAGCATCACGTATGACTATAAGTATGCGCCAAAAAATGGCATGACATCTGGTTCAAACACGTATGCCACACTTGAGTCAAAGTTGCCGTAAAGTCAGAGTCTGCTAGAAGTTTCCCCAGGTCCTTAGCCCCGTTGACATCGCCTTCAGATGGTGGTTGTGGTAAGAGACATCGTGCGTGGGAACAACTTCCTGATGACGCGCCACCGCCGGACGTTCCTCGACCGACAGGTAGCCTGTCAACTCGAAAGTCGAGAATAGAGCCCTCGGACCTCCTATCGTTAAGCAACACACGTTCCTCAGAAGTCGGCGCCGTTCCAATTGCGAGATTCCTGGAATGCGCATTTCTTCGACGGTTTTCGACTTGGCACTCTTTTCGTATCCCTTCTGAGCTCGCTATCAACGACCTCGGCATATTCTACAATAATTGGGGTGAGAATGTATACATTATAGAAGGCCGAAATAAGGTGTCTTTACCTGTTAATATTGACGCTGCGTGTTCAGCCGTGGTGAACGAAACAAGAACAGCCCTCTGATTGATGTTCTATTCTGCACTCCTTGTATTGTTTTGGGTAGTGACTTTGTCTCTTCGCGCGGCCAAAGTCGTTGAATGAGACGGGGCATTGCTTGCGTCGTCGCCGCCCGCAAGCCCTCTGTTTGTTCATCCCTCATAACATTTCTCTACTGAAGATGAGTCGTGTATTTATCTGGTGGGATCTTTCGCACCTGCCAAATCTTCCATTATTCTCGGGCTACGCGCTAGATTCATGAATAGGTTCCTTCACCCTATCCAAGATCATTGAATGGTTGGAGGAACTGACACGTCTTCTGTGTTTGGTTTTCTATTTTGCACTCTCGGTATTAAGGACAATGCAGTCCGTCAGGAGCTCCTCAAACAAAGATGTGGTCGGCAGCCTCTTGTGTTGGTCCTTGGAAACCTCGCAAATGCATAACAGCAATGTAGTGAGCCAGCCGTTGCATTCTACGTAGTAATAGGTAAGTCAAGGCAAATCAGAGTAAAACGGCGATAGACGTACTAATTTCGACTCACACAACTTCTCCCCAAGGCTTCAAAAGGTCTAGAGGGTCCCGTAAGGTCCCGTAAAGGTGCACATATAACGTTCGCTTATATCTGAAGGTAAGCTTTATCTGATGCGCCCGTGTACACCATAAAACCTTCTGCATCATTTCAGTTCTTACACGACGACATTGCCTTGATTGTGCCGAAATGAAGGAGCTGTGATTTTGGAGCGGTATAAGTTGGGAGACGCGGCGCATACGTGCGGGATCGGACACCACGGTCGGCGTGGGCACCTCACTAGCAACCAGCGGCGAGTAACGCGAGTAAAGTGGGCAGGGAGTCGGGCAACATCATGATGGTTCCGAAGAAAGCCGGTCACGCTCACATGCAACCTCTGGGGCGTTTTGAATCTGATCAAGCTTTGATTATCCGCGTATTCAATGTATTAGGCCGGCCGTCTTCAGAAGATCATTAATGATATCTATGCAAAAAAGCCTAGTAGAGTTTTCGGGAACAAGACTGAGAAGTAGTGTGAGGCATTTGCATCCATCTTCTCCTTCTTCCGTGCAGCAGAGCTGTCTATTTATCCGGGCTTGATACCTGCATTTCGTTCTCTTGCGTCTGCGAGTTTTGGCTGAGACTCAGCTAGCAGCAT